CCACGATTTCAACTTCACGACGAAGGATATCGTGCTCACAAACAACATTGGATTTCAACTTTACAGCGAAGGATATCCAATTCAAAGCTCAACTCCACAGCGAAGGGGCTTCCCAGTTTCATTCAGAGCCAATTTCAACTTCACGACGAAGGATATTGGACTCGAAACATCCACGATTTCAACTTCACGACGAAGGATATCGTGCTCACAAACAACATTGGATTTCAACTTTACAGCGAAGGATATCCAATTCAAAGCTCAACTCCACAGCGAAGGGGCTTCCCAGTTTCATTCAGAGCCAATTTCAACTTCACGACGAAGGATATTGGACTCAAAACATCCACGATTTCAACTTCACGACGAAGGATATCGTGCTCACAAACAACATTGGATTTCAACTTTACAGCGAAGGATATCCAATTCAAAGCTCAACTCCACAGCGAAGGGGCTTCCCAATTTCATTCAGAGCCAATTTCAACTTCATGACGAAGGATATTGGACTCGAAACATCCACGATTTTAACTTCACGACGAAGGATATCGTGTCCACCAGCAACATTCATCTTTTGATTGGATTTTAACGTCACGACGAATGATATCCAATTAGATGCTCAACTTCACAACGAATGGGTCATCCACGATTTCAACTTCACAGCGAAGAATATCGTGTCCACCAGCAGTAATGCAACCCACGATTTCAACTTCACGACAAATGATATCGTGCTCAACTGATTGACTTGATTTCACAACAAATGAGTCATCGACAACAAAAGGGATTCATTCCTCAGCCCAGTTACAGCATAACTCAAGGCGATATGAGCTATATGTCATCAAAGACCTTCGAGTTCGATTTCATTCAGCTCATAGGCATATCAAACGCATGGTAGCAACAAGGAACTACCTTCTGGAAGAATTTTCAAGCCGAAATCTTCAAACCAAGAAGAAGACCAAGGCCCAATTCTAGGCTCAGGCTAAAGCCCAATTACAGTTACTCCCCAACAAATGTATCAAGTCTCAAAACAAAAAAAGTATCGGACAAAAACTGGTTGTCTTTTTCGTCTTTGCCCTATTCTTGTTAACACAAGAATGTGCAAAGAGGGGCAGCTGTAGACCCCATATTTTGTCCTCATCCCAGCAGCCCATACCTCACCCAGCCTGGCCACCAAGCCTCCACTAGTCCTTGTCTGCCTCCACTAGTCCTTGTCTCCCTCCACTCACAATAAAAAAATTGCATATGATATTGTATTTAAATCAACAAGTGTATGATTAGTTTATTATGTTAAATCTGTAAATGGCTATAAATAGCCGGATGGAAGTTGTATATCAGAGAGGTGGAGGGATTCCAGACGTTTTTTTAGAAGCAATAAACTACTAGATTGAAGGTTGTTTTCTATTTTTTATTACAGTTTCTTTATTTTTATTATTATTTTTTATTGATTTTCTGTTTTGAATTTTTAATAGTTTTTATTTATTTATTTTCAATAGTTTTTTATTATTATTTTCGAAATAGTATGTCATTTTAGGTGTTATAAATACTAATATATTCACACATATCTGAAATTAAAAAGTAATCGAATGTTTTTATTTATTTATTTTAAACCTAATCGACTCAACTAATAGCATAAAATAATATATAAAAAATAAAAAGAGAGCCAAAAACTTACCTTTGTCGAAGGAGTGTCGTCAGGTGGGAAGATTCGAACTAAATTGTAAGGGATTTTCTCCCTATTTTTCTCAATAAAATCAAGGCAACTAAACGAATTTCAGATATGAAAACAAAAATAAAGAAATAAGGAAGAGATGGGGGTTCTGGAGATCCACGGGAAAAATAGAATTTAGGGGAAGGAGTTGCTTTTATTTTAATTTTGGGAAAACCACAAGTTAACTCCTCCTTATTTCATAGCTTTTTGTGTTCTAGTCACTAATTTTAGTTTAATACTATTTAGATCCCTTTCTTTTCCATGTGTTACATTTAAATCATTATATATAGGGTCAAATCACTCCTAAGTCCCCCTAGTCTAACCATATTTTAATATTATGGTCATTATGCTTTCGAATACTTTATTTTAGTCATTATTTTACATTTGGCTTAATTATTGTTTGGTCTTTTAATTTTTTTTTTCGCTATTTTAATATTTTAAATTTCTATTTTTATTTAATTTTTTTTTGCAGCTTATTCCTAGAATTAATTTGATCCATGAATTTTAATCCTTTCCAATTTAATTTTTTTTATTCGAATTTTCCTTTATTCTTTTTTATTTACTCTTTTTATTTCGATTTTAATACTAACTCTTTGTGTTTGTTTGTTTTAGTTTTTTACTTTATTTATGATCTTTTTAGGATAATTTTAATCAATCAAAGGTAAGTAATTTGAATCGAATTTTTAAATTTTAATTTTTGCAATTAAGACAACCGATAAATTAAATGGTACCGAAAGGACAGTTCAAGGGTGCTAATCCTTCCTTGACTGTAACCGACTCCCGAGCCCTACATATTTCTGGTAAAATGCAGATCAGGTAATATGGTATCCGATCAACCTAAATATTTTGTTTAAATGATCGATGGCGACTCCTAATATTTTATTTAAGTCGAAGCCCAATTCCGGGCCCAACCCGAAAGGCGGTCGAGACATTAATAAAAAAACTTTTAGACATAACCATTTTATCCAACAAATGGGTTAATTCAAAAGCTGTTGTTTTTAACAAAAGCTTAAGTTAAAACAAGAGAAAAAAGATTAAAAAAAGCGTAAAAAAAGATAAAATACAATGAAAACTCCCAGAGTTAAACATATGATTCAACAAAACACTCCCTATTGTTTTAGTAGCCACATACGTATTTGTAGCAAGAAATAAAGAGATGGATATTTGAAAGGAAAAAAAGATGAGACAGAGTATCAAGCAGAAGGAACGAAAACAGAAAACCAAACGTAACTCAAAATCTCACGTCGAAATCATCCTTGAAGTTAAGTTTAGGATTTCAAAAATTACCTTTATTTGATTACTCGGGAAAAAAGACCTTGGGTCAGGGACCGGAGGATGGAAGAAGGAGGAAGGAGGAAACCGGAGAGAGGCTTGTTTGACGGTGGGAGACGAAAGTGGGTTGGAAGTTGCGCCGAACAGTGTTGGCAGACGATAACGTTTGGTTTTGTCTTTAAATTAGACTTCCAAAAAAAAACCCTTACGTTTCGTTTTAGGAAGATTAACCAATATTTAATTTTTGGGTAAACTTATGAATAGTCCCCTTTATTTTCAGTTTGATCAAATTTGATCACCAGTTAAAAAAATAAGTGCATTTGGTCCTTTATATTATCAATCTGTTTGGTTTTAATCTATTAGTCATTGACTTTCGTTAACACCTTAATAAGAGTATAAGTGCATTTGGTCCTTTATATTATCAATTCGTTTGGTTTTAATCTATCAGTCATTGATTTTCGTTAACACCTTAATAGGAGTATTATGTAGAAATTAAAAAAAAATCACATTTTGTGTCGAATCAGTGATCAAATTTGATCTCACCGAAAATAAAGGGACTATTCATATAGTTTACCCTTTATTTTTTATATTTGTGATATTATTTTTTTAAAATATCTTTTGTATATGTATTTTTAATATTTCAAAGTATATATATATATATAAAGTTTTTAGATTTTTTCAATTTATTTTAATTTTTCAAGTGATGTTATTTCATGATACCAAAACTTTTGCGAAACTTTTCATAGAATCCTTCCATTCCACATAATTTTCACTAACAGCCCTCGATATTATTTTATGATATAAATCGATCCAATTTAATTAAATTAGGATTTGATAATGAAATGTAATATAGATTGTTTTGATTATAGAATATGTGTACAATTGAAGTAGTTTCTCGAGTTTGGGTTTAAATAGGAAGGTAAGTGAACAAAGCATTTAACGAATTATTCATGAATCATTCGTATAATGTTTGTATATGTTCATATTAATTAAGTTAAATAAACGAGTATGAATAATTTTTATATTCATTTAATAAATGAATGAACGCGAACAAAAGTGTGTTCGATTTGTTTATATTCACGAAAAAATTCATAGGCTTGTTTATTGATTTGTTTATAAACTCGTTTACTCGGTCTTCATTTTATTTCATTTTTTATATTTTAAATATTGGTGAACATAAGGATTAAATTGGACACAAGGTGAATTTTGAAGTTCAAACTATACAACCTAATAAATTAAGGATCAATGGCATTATTTTACCATTTTCTTTGGCTGCAAGTAAAATGATAAAATGAGAGTGTTGGTTATTCAAAATTAAACGAGCATGTTCACTAACACCTTCAAAAATAAATAAACGAATGGGAATATGATATTGAAAATTTAAATGAACATGAATTGAACATGAACACTTTAAAAAACAAACAAACAAACAAACACAAATATAACTTTTTTTTTCATTCAAACTTAGGTCATTTACACCCCCCAAGTCTACATTGTGTGTTTTTTTTTAAATGCAGTTCCAATTTAATTTAATTAGTGTTTATGAATCACATTTAATTTAGATTAGTTTGATAATAAATGTTTCTTATAACAGTTTATTATATTGACAAGGTAGTATATCTTCAAAATATTTCTTAATTATTGATAATGTACACATATTCTACGAATGCAACTGACTTGAGTCTGAGACTTCTAATAAAACAACATTATCTTTTGTTACTGAAGTTACTAGATGAATTCAATCTAATTATTCATATAATATTTAAGAAATGTTTAATATTATAAAAATAAATTGATTACAGTTTTAAACTTTACAAAATTTATTTCACTATACTTCTGCCATTTGTGGGAAGAAATGTCCTTGGTTGAAATAATTTCAAGCTGATGATTTGATTAAAATGGCAGAAGTAAATACACAACAGTTCTATTTCATTTCCCCTTCCCTATGCGTACAATTCATTAGTAATCATGTCGTGGGTGCTTCATTTGATTCAAATGCGGCACAGTCACGTGAAAATTGCAGTAAGACTCAACCACTCCCAATATCTTTGGCCGCTGGTACAAGTTTCACAAAACAAGGATCATTAGTTTATGGGAAAATCACAATTTAATCTACCATTATTACGGATTGACAACCTTTGGATGATTGAGGAACAACAACAACGTGCATGGCGGAGTTGTTGGGAGGAAGATTCACTGGGAGTGCATAAAGCTTGCCGCTGAAAGAGTTGCGCGAGCAAACGGTAAACTCCTCGTCCACCTTTGCCGCCTCCTTCAACGCCTTCTTCAATTCCTCTACCCCATTGCCTTTAAATGGGAAGCTTCGCTCTCCGATGCTCTTATCAACATCACCATTTTCATCTACTACCTCGTACTTAATTATCCTTCCGACAAATGCCCCTCCTGAACCTTCTGTTGAATCATCAGCCTACATGTCAAAATAAATGATTCAGACCAATAGATTTTTACAACATAAATAAATTCATTAATTAAACGAAATTGAACCTCAAGGGTAGACTCTCTAGGCCCCCTAAGTGAGATCTCTGATTCCGAATTTGATTCGATATGCTGTGAGGAAGATGTCTCGACAGAAGAAGGAGGAGGCAGAAGACGCGGCAAATCGTCTTGTTGCCGTTCTTCTAAAATCTCAACGGTCCAAAGAATCCAGTCTTGTGTGACGGATAGATGAGGAACATCATGTGTAATGTGACCCCTCCACGGAGGGAACTTTCCGTTGGCACGTAAATACTGGCCGTAACGTGTCCTGAACCTAAACTGAACGCCTTCCCTAACGGGTTCCCATTCAACTGAAGATGTTAGTCGTCTCGGCAAGGTTTGCAACACCCTTTTCCCTTTCATTCCGATGAGAAACGGCATATTCGAAGCCGACAAGTATTTTCCGTGACAGCTTTTGAGACGAATATGGATCAAACTCGACTCCGGGAGCTCCACTGTCCATCGCGCTTTCGTTGACGACCGGTCTCGATCTTGGCCGACTGTTTCCTGATCGTCGTTGGCTACTAAGAATTTGTCATGGTGGCTGCATAAACGAACAACGCTAGCTGTCTGGAAGATTTCCATGGCCACCGCTCTAAATCAAATATAAACCAAAATGCAATAAGATTGATTACTAAAAAATGGGATTCGTAAGCAAATGCTAAATTCCAAAAATTTTCTAATATAAAAGTTCCTTACCTTAATAAAAGATGATTAAGAATAGTAGAGATTGGTTGGCAGAAAGGAAATTGAGGAAAACTTGATGACCAATGAGTTATATATTGTCGATGGAAACCCCGAAATTTAAGCACTCAAATTTCAATGATAAATAGAAAAGAAAAATCAATGTCCACTAATACTAATTTACGTTCATATGTGTAATGTTAAAAGAAAATAGTTTCTTATGTCTCAAACATGTCCATTATTTCCTATATATTGTCACGGGGCTAGACTTCTGCTAGACGATTCGTGCGGCACTTAGACGATTTCCAGGTCGAAATGGCGCCTAAGTCAGCCTTATCCACGTCCTTGTGAGTCTCTGGCTCACTAAGCGACGAACAAACCCTCAAGGGTTAAACAATAATGCGGAAATAACACTTAATCGGGGGCTAATCCAAGCCACCTGGGTTGAAGCAGATCTCTGAAGCACGTGCGTTGTGGGAACTTTCTAAGTCACCAAGACTTGAATCACTTTGGCACTTTGAAAGAACTCGGAAAGAACACTCCCGAGGCTATCTCAGCCCTCCCGATCGGTAACACCAGCCACAAAGGCTTAAGCACAAAGGAGATCAAGCCGACAAGGCTAGAAAGCTGCAAGCTGGAAAGCTAGAAAGAAAGAACTCAGATAGAGTAAGAGTAAATGCCTGAGTTTTATTACTCTGAAGATAATGAATGAAGTGAATGATTAAAAATGAGGGGAGGAGCTCTCTATTTATAGTTGAGGCCCTCAAGATCCAACGGTCTAGATCAAAGTACATCGACGGCTTACATTGAATCCTACCTTAACAGAACTCTATCTCTAAGGTATTTGAATTCAAATAAAACATTATCCATAATTAAATCCTTAATTATTGGATAATAATATTCTTTCTGGAATCTTCCAAGGAACGGGCCAGGTCTGATGGTTCTGGGCAAGCCCAACACTCTGTATTATTCTTCTACAGAAAATTTGCTCACACATGTCTCGGTCCGAATCCACGAGCCTCGACAAAATTGCCCCCCATCGAACATGTAACACCCTCGTCGCTTCTCTCAGACGCCTCGGACTTGATCCTTCACGAACTCGAGCCTTTACGGACCCGCAAGCATTCTCCAAGAACCAGGCCAACTCACCATGCCCGACAAGCCCAAAGTCTGCGTAACTGAACCCCTTCTGTGAACCTTTACGCCAATGCCCATGGACCCAAAAGTTTAGTCCGTGACAATCTCCCCCACTTGATCTAGCGACGCCCTCGTCGCTAGGTGAGAACACTTGGTCTTGATCACCTTGGACGCTTTAACAAACACCTTGGCTTCCTCGCCTTGGTTAACACCGTCATGTCTTATCACCATCTAGCACACCTTGGCATTCATCTCGAACGTAGGAAATCCATCCTACCCGTTTGCATTCACCCAAACAAGGATATTTTTTTTTCCCAGCGGTAAAGAATTGGATACTCCGGCAACATACAACACGACAACTCAGATTCATCGGCAACACTCGCTTGTCCGTAAGAACTCTGAAAGTCTCAGATGTCCCTTCCAACCTTTAATAACTCCGTAAAAAGATGGTTAGGTCCTCGACCTATGCTCATCAACGATGGTGAATCAAACTCAACACTTGGAATGTATTTGAGATGTCCCTCGATTTCCCCCAGCACATTTACTCTACGTGTCAGCCCTTCTTACTCCGTGAAGTCTGGCACTCCACACACCAACACTTCTATCCGGAAGTCTGGTGTTTCTACTCGCATCGGCACTTCCTCCCTTGAAGTCCGGTGCGACTTCCACCCTCTTACATGGGTGGCAAGTTCTCGCCCATCATGTCTCTTAAAGGCTTAGACTCCATCAACCACTTCTCAGTTGTCTCTTCGATGGTAGTCCTTAAAACAACATTCCGCTCCATTGGAACTTCTTCAGAATTGCCAGTCTTGATTGCCTCCTTCGGTGGTTCGGCTTTTAAACCAATATTGTCGGCATCCTTCTTTGACATGAATGGATCAGTTGCCCCTGTGTCTACTAAGGCAACTCCCGATGGTTCGGCAACGTTGATGTTCGCACACATCAACTCATTCTGCTTTCGGCCTCTACTTGCCTTGGCAGAACTCAAGTTCATTGAGCCAAGTCTCGCAGCCTCGCTAACCTTATCTTTACCCATGTTCTTGGTAACTCGATCCTGGGCTTCTCCATCCTCTCGGACCACTCGGCTTTATCCCGGCAAGCTTGCAACTCTTGTGGCCCCTTACTTCGGTGACCCTTCGTCTGCTCCTTTCTTGCCCTCGGTGTAAGGCACTTGTTCGCTTTACTTGTGCCAACAGCATCCATGTCTTTTCTTGACATGTGCTCACCACTTGAACGATCAATGCTCAAATGCTCACCATTCGAACAAACTTCACTCGAACAAGCTTCACTCGAAGAGCCTTGCTCCTCATCATTGTTGGACTGACCCTCATCTCGAATATTTTCGCCATTACCCTCGGCTTTCAACTTTGTCTTGGATGTCTTCTTGAATCCAAGTTCTATGATGGACTCGGCGCTATCAAGGCTTTAGACAACTCCTTGATTCCCCTTCTCTCCATCGTCGCCTTTGCCCATGGCTTCAATCCATCTGTGAAGGTGAAGAATGCATCTTCTTCAGTCAACTCTGGGACTTGGAGCATGAGTTCCTCGAACTCTCTCACATACTCCTTCAACGTCCCATCATGTCTAAGATTCATCAACTTAGACCATGCCTCACTCTCGGCATGCACTGAGCTCGATTGCTCTTGAAAGGTCTCGGACTCTTTTGGTCCTTTGCCAACTCCAGCTTCAACAGCAACGGCTACCTCCTCGGTATCCTTGGAAAGCTCCTTGGCAAAATTGGGTTTGGGCAACCCGTTCTGCTTTTGGTTTTGACTAACCTTGGCAGTAGTAAACACCATTGAACCAAGCTTGGCAGGCTCGCTACTCTCGACCCTGTCCTTTCCCTTGGACTGCTTGATTCGGTTTGGGCATTCCCGCACTATGTGTGGACCTTTGCACCGGAAACACTCCAGTTGCTCTCGCTTATTTACCCTCGGCTCTTCAGCTTGGCCCTTGGCTTTCGCACCGAGCTTTACTTTGGTGGTGCAATCTCGCACCTTGTGTTGTCCACCGCATTGGAAACACTTCAACGGCTCTCGCTTCTTTACCCTCGGCTTAGTTGCTTCGCCACACGCATTGTCACCGAGCCCTGCTTTATTGGTACAATCTCGCACCTTGTGTTCTCCATCACATCGGAAACACTTCAATGGCTCTCGCTTCTTTATCCTCGGCTTAGTTGCTTCGCCACTCGCATTGGCACCGAGCTTTGCTTTGTTTGGGCAACTCTTGGCCCTATGTGCTCCTTGACATATGAAGCACTTCAGTGGATCTCGCTTGTTTACCCTCGGCTTTCCTGCACCACTAGCATTCGCGCCGAGCCTCGCTCCTGGTTTGACTGCTTCGACTCCCGCAGTCGCACCATCATCGGCTACTTCCCCTTTTGACTTGCCTTCTCCTTTGACAATGGCAACAAGGCGATTCTTCTCGGGGCATCCTCTTATCAAGTGAGGACCATCACAGAAGTAGCATTTAAGAGGCTTGTTACTCACCTTCTTCTTTAACACGGACTTGGCCTTGCCATGATTCCCCGATGGCTCTATCCGACCACGATCAGTCGATACCACTTCTTGGCTACTCGAAGAGTTTTCTCTGCCATCTATCCACTGTCCCTTGTCATGGTCTCCCCCATTTTCACCACTATCTTTGGGCATGGGTCTGATGACTCATATTCGGTTGGCTTGGCTCCTGCAAGCTCGCACCTTGACTCGGCTACATCTCCGGCTTCCGAATAACTCTGGGTATCACCTTGCTCACTGGCAAGCATCACCCCTGGTCTAAGTCCTTCGATGAAGGTATTGCACGCACCACCATAACTCATTACTGTTTTGCGCAAGAGTATCTCACTCTTGAGCCCATCCATCTCTTCCCTCAAGGCCATCAACTCGACCCTGAGCGCATTACTCATCTCTATCAACGTCCAACCGTGGAGACTCTGTTGCGCCACATCCTTGAACCCATCCCTCATGGATTCTAACTGTTCAAGACGGGACTCCATAACTCCTTGGACCTCCTTGGCTTCTTCCGTGAAGCTCTCAAGGTTCTTGATCCTCACCTCCAATGATCCTGGGGTAACTCCCACACATTGTTTCTCTAGCTCAATCCCAACACCACGGCTCTCCGCGCCATCCTCTATGGGAACAACTCCTTTTTGTTGTGCCATCTCGTTTCCTTTCCACAACCTGTCTGGAACACTCGTTGAATCCACAACGGCTTCCATCACCTCGCTAAAATGCTTCTTGTCACAAGACAAGCTCGGATCACTGTTGAATCCACAACACCTACACTCCGACTTGCATTGACTTGCTTCCCCAAACCACGTACAAAACGATCGTTGTTTGCCAGTAACAACTCGCTCTGTCACTGCTTGCCACTAAGTCAGACGGGTAAACTACTTACACCGACAACTCGTTCTGACACCACTTGTGTCGGGGCTACAGCTACAGCAACGCTCTGATACCACCTGTCACGGGGCTAGACTTCTGCTAGACGATTCGTGCGGCACTTAGACGATTTCCAGGTCGAAATGGCGCCTAAGTCAGCCTTATCCACGTCCTTGTGAGTCTCTGGCTCACTAAGCGACGAACAAACCCTCAAGGTTAAACAATAATGCGGAAATAACACTTAATCGGGCTAATCCAAGCCACCTGGGTTGAAGCAGATCTCTGAAGCACGTGCGTTGTGGGAACTTTCTAAGTCACCAAGACTTGAATCACTTTGGCACTTTGAAAGAACTCGGAAAGAACACTCCCGAGGCTATCTCAGCCCTCCCGATCGGTAACAC